AATACGGATGAAAGTTCGGTGTGGGTGTGCCCCTGTGACTAAAGAACGCGGATTCGTTGTTCCCACTTTCGTTAGGAAAGGTGAGGGTAACGAACCTCGGTGTCGATTGGTCATGACCTGGCCTACTACTCGAAGGGATAAGTAGGAAGTCTCCTACCATCGTGGTGGATAGATGACTGTGTACGTGAGGAAAACCTAGCGGGTTTTATTACAGGGCTATTCGGATTTTCCTAATGGATGCATACCCGCTTTCTCCGTGTTTTAAGTGCGACTAATAAACCCAAGGACCTCTCTAAAACCGAATGTGTTTTGAGAATATTCTGAGCTTTGGAAATTCTTCAAGACAAACGGCTTGAAGACATATGGCGAAACAATAGGGAAGTAAAAGTTATGGTGGGTCCTTAGGTTTATTGAGGGTCGAAGTGACGTTACGCAGGTCGGTTGTTGTCCGGTCGCGCGGTCGGGCGTGCAGATGTTTTAGGCGGCGTAACAAACTCCATCACTCAATAACAATGAACGATTAACAAGGATTGAATAACAATTAACAATTAACAGCGGTTAAATAACAATTAACGGTTAACTACGGTTGACGCTTGACGACGATTAACAACAGCGACGATTGACCGAACTCTCAAGAATAGTCGACTCGTTTCTCTTCATCATTCGCGAGTCGCGGCTCTGGGTAGAATGTGCTTTTTATTCCAGATCGAACGGATTCCTCCCTTCTTTGCCCAGCGATATCCCCACTAGCGTGTGTTCGTGAGATGTACCGCGGCGGTTGGTGCGTGCTTGCTCTTCCGAGAATTTGGCGGAAGAAGTGTGGAGATATCGATGGCACATTGGGCACGTCGGTGTTCCGCTTTGACGGCGTAGTGCTTTGTATCGCGAAGCCGTTTGAAAGTTCCGTGACACGTGCCGCCACAAGTGTTAAAAACTTGCAAGTCGAAGTATGATCGCAATTATCGGGTCGATATTCGCAATTAAAAGTCGGAGCGTTAAAGGTTAAAAAAATGAGAATAATTAACATTAAATTTGTATTTGTGTTCAAAATTTTACTCAACTTATTCTTTATACAGGGTGGTTGGTAACTGGTGGTGCAAGCGGAAAGGGAGTGATTCTACGCGAAAAAAGAAGTCGAATATGTAGAATAAAAATTTTTCGTTTGAGGCTTTGTTTTCGAGAAAATCGACTTTGAATTTTCGCTCGGTACGCGTGCACTGTATCATGTCTGGTTATAAAGGATCTCACTGTAGATCGTTGTCTCGATGGAAAAATTAAAAAAAGAAATTAAGAAAAAAATTTTTATTCTATACTTTCGACTTCTTTTTTTCGCATAGAATCACCTCCTTTTCGCTTGTACCACCAGTTACCAACCACCCTGTATATTCTTTATATATACCTCGGGGATGAAAGAACACCGGAGCCTTTGGAATTTTGGATAATCTCGCAATATTGTAATCTAGATGTTATCATAGCTGTAATGAAGCAATTGTAGTTATTCAATCCGATTGTAATTGTTCGAGAGTTATGATAATGAGCTTGGGCTCCAGGCGACAACCAGTCGCCGAACGTAGCCGCGGTCACGGGATGAACGCTTTGTCTAACAAAGGTATGGAGTAATTCTATAGCTCTCCTTAAAAGAAATATTTGTGGCGGCACGCGACAGTAAACATTCCAACGGTTTCTGTTCCTTGGCTCGCCACACGCAGACCCTATTCTTCGAGTAAGATGATTGCCAGATGTTCATGCGTCTCCGCAGTACATGTTCAGCTAGCCTGAGGGGCTGTTATAAATCTTAAGATTTAGTTGACTAAAGTCCTTCAGACAGACAAACAATCCTTGTCCCAACTACGGGAAGATAGGGGAGCAGCAACATTCCCTCGAGGGCGGCTAGCATCTTTTTCTAGCCACCGATATGGAGATTGACCAATTAGCAGCAACGTCAATTTCCCTTTCTTTCTGAACGAAGTCTTTCTCGGCGAATCCGAGGATCTCGCGCCTTTAGACAAACCCCATATAGTTTTCCTCTGTAGCATCATCGACACGGAAATTCATTCTTTCTTGCGATCTCATCGACGAAAAGTGTAACGCCTTACGATTAGTGAATATTACGCGTTTTACTAACGAAGAGTCCGACTTAGATTTCGTGAGCACGTACATCTATCATCCCGTTGACCGCGGATTCGTTATTGAACCTAGGATCATTGTCATTAGTTTCTCGAGTACCTAACTACCACGGTTACCTGTCCGGCTCTATAATAATGGCATTTGTACTAGTCAATGTCTTCTCTATTGCATAACGACAACGTGTAACCCAAACGAAGATTCGTTTCACGCCCCTAACCCTAATTCTAACGTAAACCCGACACCCGACATGTATATTCTGCTTATTTTACACCTAGACGTTTCATTAATTAATCCCATCGATATCATATACCAAAATATGTAAAAAATCTATATGGCAAATTTATTCAGAATATGTATATTAAGTTATGCACTTACAATGTGCCTTGTCGTAAAATATTTTAAATATCTAAAATAACTTTATCTAAAGTATATAAGGTTATCCAAAATAACCTAGAAATCTAAACATTAAATGCATCATAAGTGATTAAAAATAATTATAGTGTAATATCGTAGAATAGCTTTGATTGAAGATCGGCTGAAATTAGAAAACACCGTGTATGTCGTCTTTTTGTGGTTTGTTTACATCCAAGAGCGCCTAGTAACAGTGACGCGAGAAAAAATAAGCAGCGTCAGAATAGAAGTACGGTTTCATATTTCAAGGAGTGGCAATCGAGAGGCCAGAGTATGTGAGCCGAAAAGTGTGTGTGTGTGTGAGAGAGAGAGGACGAGAGCAAGAGCGAGCACGACCGAGCAGGAATGCATTGACGAGGGTCAGAGTTGATCGAGACGTCGAAGCATAGAGTCGTTAGAATTGAGTTGCGAGTGTTGTCGAGTGTCAGAGTTGCTAGTGAGAGAGAGAGAGAGAGAGAGAGTTACCAAATAGTTGTCAAGTTATTTGATGTAAATACGAGCGTTGCATTTAGTTTTCCTGTTAATCAAACATCATTTCTCTGTATAACTAATATCTGTATTTTCAATCCATTATTAATAAATTATAATTAATCGGACAAAATTACACCTTTAATATATTCCGATATTACAAGTGGAGGCTCGTGTCGGGATTGAATAAGACAGAGAACGACACGATTTAACGGAGCTATTTGTGCGGGAGTAGAAAAGAATAGAATAAAATGGCAAACGTTGAAGACAAACGATTGTCGGATGAAGAGGATTTGACGCTGGAGGAGCTGAGGAGTAAGCTCGCACAGATGAATCTGCCTATATCCGTTGCGAGATCAGTGCTGGTTGCCAGGTTGAACAGAGCGTGCAAACGTGGTCGATTTACTTCTAAGGATTCGAAGCGTGGCGAAGAACCAACAAACCAGCGAGATCTAAGAAGCAAGCAAAGAGCCGAACGCAGTCAAGAGGGAGAGGAAGACTTCGAGAAGCTGAGGACGAAAGAGCTGAGAGCGCGTCTCGTTAGCTTGGGGTTGAAGGTAACGGGAAGAAAATCCGAACTACGCGCGCGGCTACAGGCGGCCCTAGAAGGAAACGATGTATCGTCGGAAAAAGAGAGCTCCGACGAAAGTGAAGGCGAGGACGATAAACAAGGCGCGCGAGAATACAGGAGAGGCACGCGAGCGGTGTATCAGGACCACGATGAGTATCACCAGAAGTTATGCGTCGGTTCGATGTTGAGTCTTAAAGACGTAGAAGACTCATTAGAGAAATTCAGCGGGGATGATCTGCTGAGTGTAAATCAGTGGGTGGAAGACTTCGAGGAAATGGCAGAAGTGTGGGGTTGGTCAGACGCCCACATGGTGGCCTATGCTGAGAAATTACTCGCAGGCTCCGCTCAGGCTTTCGTACGACAAGAACGATGCGCGAAGTCCTGGGCAAAGCTAAAAAAGTGCTGTGGAATGAGTTTGAAAATGTAGTAAGCGACCAACAGATACATCGCGAGTTATCCCATAGAAAGAAGAAAGCAGACGAGAGTCTGCAACAATATATGTATCACATGTGCGGGATTGCAAAACAAGGAAGGGTCGATACGCAATCCTTGATAGACTACATTATTCAAGGCATTCCCGACGAGGTCGCGAACAAGATTGTGCTATACGGAGCCAGGAATATCGAGCAATTAAAAGAGCGTTTCAGACGCTACGAAGCGATAAAAAGAGATATGGAGATGAGGACGAAATTCGAGGAGCCGAAGAGTAGCAGGGTAAAGCCGGTGGCGAAGCTGTCCGAAACCGAGAGGAACAAGGAACCCGGTCGATCTGGAGATGCGAGGAAGGCGCGATGCTACAATTGCGGTGATGCGGAGCACGTGTGTGCGGAGTGTCCGAGCAAATTGAGAGGACCTAAATACTTCAAATGTAGGGAGTACGGACACATCGCATCAAAATGCGACAATTTGGGTGAGTCCTCAAAAAAAATTTATAGCGTGTTTCGGTCGTTACAAACAAGGCGTGGTAAGGATGTTAAGATCGAAAATTTCGAATTGAGCGCGTTGATAGAAACCGGTAGTGAGCTGACTCTAATGCGAGCAAATCAGCATGTGAAAATCGGAGCGCCCAGATTAAGTCGGGAAATCGTTGGATTTCGCTGTATCGGTTTCGGAAGGAATTTTACGCTCGGGAAATTTTCGACGAACATTATTATAGACAATGAGTCGTACTGTATAACCATACACGTAGTTCCAGACACAGTGATGCAACATTCGCTTATTATTGGCGCAGACTTTTTGGACACTGTTGAAATAAGTATAAAAGGGGGAGAATCTTTTATTAGTAGAATAAAGGACGAAAATCCCGATGAGTGTCCGGAAGTTCTCAAGATAGATGTAGAGACACAGGCGAGTGAGATAGATTTGTCACACGTTAAGGACATGCAACATAGGCAGGCAGTGGAAAATCTGATCCGAGATTATAGGCCACTGAAAACACGCGAAGTAGGAATCGAAATGAATGTGATATTACAGGATGATATTCCAGTTTACGAAAGGCCACGAAGACTATCTCCACAAGACAAGGTCGAAGTCGATAAACAAATCGAAATGTGGCTGGAAGACGGCATAATACGCCAGTCACATTCCGATTATGCCAGTCCGATCGTCCTAGTCAAAAAAAAAAAGATGGCTCGACTAAAATCTGTGTCGATTACAGACGGTTAAATCAAAAAGTAGTGAAGAACAGATACCCGCTGCCCTTGATCGAAGACCAATTAGATTCGTTGCAGGGCTCGACGGTATTTAGTACTCTGGATCTCAAGAACGGATTCTTTCATGTTCCTGTTGGGGAAAGTAGTAGAAAGTATACGGCATTCGTAGTCCCCACGGGCCAGTACGAATTCCTTAAGATGCCATTTGGATTATGTAATTCGCCAGCCGTCTTTCAAAAATTTATAAATGCAGTTTTTAAAGAGCTGATCGCGACGGGAGTTGTTCTAACGTACATGGACGATCTGATTGTGCCGTCGACTGACTTTTCGAGTGGAATCGAAAAATTAAGTTCGGTATTGCATGTCGCTAGCGAACACGGACTACTCATAAACTGGAATAAGTGTCGATTCCTACAAACGAGGATAGAGTATGTGGGCCATATTGTCGAAGGCGGTAACGTTCAGCCATCGGAATGCAAAACCAGGGCCGTCGCTAATTTTCCGGAGCCTCGATCCGCTAGAGATGTTCAGAGTTTCCTTGGTTTAACGGGATATTTTAGAAAGTTTGTGCCCCGACATTCTATCATTGCGAGACCATTGTCAGATCTGCTGAAAAAAAGATGTCCCATTTAGGTTCGAGTTGCGCGAGCGAGAAGCGTTTGTAAGACTGAAAGCAGCGCTGAGCGAGAAACCGGTGTTGAAGCTATGCTGCGTGGGGGCGGAAACTCAGCTGCATACAGATGCGTGTAGTATGGGATACGGTGCAATTTTGTTGCAACGCGACAGTGAGGACAACGCTTTTCACCCTGTGTATTATTCGAGTGGGAAGACTTCGCTGGCTGAGGAGAAATACACCAGCTACGAGTTTGAAGTTCTGGCCATCGTGAAAGCGTTAAAGAAGTTCCGCGTTTACCTGCTCGGTATCCCATTCAAAATCGTTACAGATTGTCAGGCATTCGCATTAACGATGCAGAAAGGGGACCTGTGCGTACGTGTTGCGAGGTGGGCGATCCTTTTAGAGAAATTCGACTACAAGGTGGAACATAGACCCGGGAGCAGTATGATGCATGTTGATGCGTTGAGTCGAAATCCGCTACCTGAAGTCATGCTGATAGACAAGGACGAGCGAGGGATTGTTGCACGAATAAGGAACGCGCAGCTGAAAGAAGACGACCTGCGGCAGATCCGAGACAACATGAAATAACATGAGGCCGACGGGTACATCGTAAAGAACGGCATTTTATACCGAGAAATAAGGGATACACCGTTATTGGTCATGCCAAAGTCAATGCAAACTCAGGTGGTTCGACGAGCTCACGAACGCGATCACTTTGGCATCACCAAAACAGAAGCGTTGTTAAGGAGGGACTATTGGTTCAGAGGAATGCGCGAAAAAGTAGAAAAGGTAGTGCAGAGTTGCATCGACTGTATCCTTGTAGAGAGAAAGCAGGGAAAACAGGAGGGGTTACTAAATACCATCGACAAGGAGGAATTGCCGCTCGACACCTACCACGTCGACCACCTTGGGCCATTACCCTCTACAAAAAAGTTACCGACATATCTTTGCGGTGGTGGACAAAGTTTGTATGGTTGTATCCCACCAAGTCGACGGGTTCTGCCGAGGTCATTAGTCGCTTGAGGAAGCAGTCTGTGAATTTTGGGAACCCGAGGAGAATCATCTCCGATCGTGGAACAGCATTCACGGCCGGCGCCTTCAAAGATTACTGCAGAGAGGAAGGCATACAGCACGTTCGGACTACAACTGGGATCCCGCGGGCAAACGGACAAGTGGAAAGAGTGAACCGGACGCTTATTCCACTGCTGACGAAGCTATCTGCGCCAACGCCGGACAAGTGGTTCAAACACCTGGAGACAGCGCAGAGGTATTTAAATGCAGCTCCCAATGTAAGTACGAACGCTGCCCCGTTCCAGTTGTTGTTCGGAACACGAATGAGACTGCGAGACGATCCACAGATCAGTCAGCTAATCGAGGACGAACAGGCCGCGGTGTTCCAAAAGGAACGAGATCAGCTGCGTGCAGACGCAAAGAGACGGATTGAGGAGATCCAAATCCGAAACAAGCGGGCGTATAACAGAAGACGCAAGAAGGCGACAGCATACAGGACGGGAGATCTAGTGGCAATCGAGAGGATGCAGAGGGGTCCCGGGCTAAAGCTGCATCCGAAGTTTCTTGGACCGTATCGGGTGATAAAAGTCCTTTGAAATGACCGATACATAGTGCAGCGAGAGGGGGAGCACGAAGGGCCACGTACAACTTCCACGGCAGCCGATCACATGGAATGGTGGAATGCTGACGATAGTGATGTAAGTGCGAGCGGCGATGATGAGCACATCTGAGGGCAGATGTGATTGCCAGGAAAGGCCGATTGTAATATCGTAGAATAGCTTTGATTGGAGATCGGCTGAAATTAGAAAACACCGTGTACGTCGTCTTTTTGTGTTTTGTTTACATCCAAGAGCGCCTAGTAACAGTGACGCGAGAAAAGATAAGCAGCGTCAGAACAGAAGTACGGTTTCATATTTCAAGGAGTGGCAATCGAGAGGCCAGAGTATGTGAGCCGAAAAGTGTGTGTGTGTGTGTGAGAGAGAGAGAGGACGAGAGCAAGAGCGAGCACGACATGCAGGAATGCATTGGCGAGGGTCAGAGTTGATCGAGACGTCGAAGCATAGAGTCGTTAGAATTGAGTTGCGAGTGTTGTCGAGTGTCAGAGTTGCTTGTGAGAGAGAGAGAGAGAGAGAGAGAGAGAGAGTTACCAAATAGTTGTCAAGTTATTTGATGTAAATACGAGCGTTGCATTTAGTTTTCCTGTTAATCAAACATCGTTTCTATGTATAACTAATATCTGTATAACATCGTTTCTTTTCCTGTTAATCAAACATCGTTTCTATGTATAACTAATATCTGTATTTTCAATCCATTATTAATAAATTATAATTAATCGGACAAAATTATACCTTTAATATATTCCGATATTACAATAGCTTTATATTATCGTGGTCTACATTTTACCCGCAACACATCCATTGTCTCCACACTTTGCCTGTAACATACATATCTTTACTGTATCCCATATAGACGGGCTATATAAAAAGTAAGTCTAAATATTACCATAGAGTGAGGCCGTACCATTGAATCGGTGGAGATTTGTAAACAAAAGTTATGAGAAAATGACCTCAATCTTGAAATTCGAGGTCAAATTTGTCGTTATTGCTCTGTATTCTGCTCATCATGAGAATGAGAGATCTCGAAGGAACCATAGAGAGCAGCTGTTCTCTTGGAAAAAGGTGTTAAAATTTCAATAATTCTTAAATTGAATTTATTCATCTTGGGCTTACAATTCTATTTACACTTAGTGAAAAGGTAGCGTGCTATTAACAAAGCAACAGGAAACTATTTCATGAAATAAGTCATACTGGGATATGGAGGATTCCTACGTAAAGGTCGAATGCGGATCTTACATTAAGTGGGGTAACATAGAACAGGTCCATTATCGTTGCTGCTCACGCTTTGCTCATTTACTATTGGACTTACATAGAATAGTTCATCCAATGGGAATCAATTGCATGAAAGTGGAATGAATGCAGTAAGAATGTTCCCAACTGGATAAAATTAGCCGTGTTCAAGTACTCCAGATGAATATTCCATTTGACGAAATTTTTGTCGTTGGATGCTTCTTTTTTTTTATTAACGTGGAGGAAATCCGCACGGACACCAGGTCGCTTCTGGGGAAAAGAGGCGTGGTAGTGCCGGACTCCAACCGACTAAAACCTCCACGATGACCGTCCCGGCTGCGATCGAGAGGGGCCTGGGAACCGGTGTGAACGACAGAACGCCCCCACCCCCCACGCACAATAGGTCCCCTAATGGAGCGATGTGCGGCCACGTCACACCGCGCCTCGTCGCCGGAGCCACCGTGCCAGGCAGTCCGGTTCCCCTATCGGGAACATATTAAAACGTGTATGTTACAAGTTGGAAGGTTTGTAGAGCGGTAAACATGCACAGCACGTTTAACTCTGTGATATCAGACTAGATGATGTAATCATTCAAATAAACGCTTTTTGTATGACTTGAAACAGTTGAGACACACGACGAAATTTAATGGTGCAGGAATATACAGAATATGCATAGTATTCATATGAAAAGTCTTTTTCACAGTACCATCAGAAACTTTATTTTACATAATCGATCTTTTACAATTACATAATTCTGTTGAATAAAAAA